TTTAAAGATATAACACATTAAATTTATTTATAGCAATAAATATTTATAATTAAAACGGTATACAATGAACTTTATAGAGATCTATCTCTAGTAATTACTAGTGTAATATGGGGGTTGAAACTTTATGTATCTATTAAAGTGAGATTCATTTGGGAGTTACATAGTAATGCATTATAATTTTTTATATCGACATATTAGGGATTTTTATGATTATGTTCTATTGAATTTATTTTTTAAGCTAGCACCTTTTGTCTCGAATTATTAGTAAATTCTAATTCTAGTCCTAGTAATTCAGACACTTTTAACCTCTTTATTTGTGAATAACCATAACTTTTTTTTGAATTAATAACTATTCAACCGTTTAATTACTTGTGTGGTTAAAATATTATTATTATTTCATATTTAAAGGTAATGTATTTTGACAAATAGTCTTTTTGTTAATGTAAAATGATCAAAATCATATATTTTAAAATTAAAGAGTAAATATAATAAGTCATATATCATACCGATCAGGGATTATTATTGATTTCATAATCAAACATTAGTCATCAAATTATGGCTCACGTATGCTTTTTTCCCTATTATGTAGATAGGAGGTTTGGATTGATTTCACTTTCGAGAAACGTTTATGTCAATACATAAATTATCAATTATGAATAGGTGTGTTGACTCCGAATAGAGCTTTATTCAATGTAAATTTAAAATAATTAAACTCCATATGAATATCAAATAACGGACGGATAAAAAGAGTCATCAACTATAGTATACATTTACCAAAAAGTTGACATTTCGTATATGAAATGTTGACTTATTATTTATTTATTTATCAAAATATCTTTTTAAGATTGAAATGGATTGGTAGGTGTGAATTGTGATATATTATTACGTATACTATTTATTGCTTTTGGTACACGAATATTCACTCCATTTCTAAATTTCTTACACATGCAGAAATTTATTAAAGTGATTAAAAGAACACCTGTCCCCATTTCCCTTTTAGTTTTCATTTCTTTTACAATAAATAAATCATGGACCTTTTTTAAATGTATCGTTTTTCCTAAAGTTGACACAAGGGCATTGTGGCCGGAAAATATTATAAGTTGATTTAATTTTTTAAATACTGAATATGTATATTATAAGTTGATTTAAGTATGTGACATGAGGGCACTTACCGTAATTAACTTATATAATTTGATTTAAATATTGCATATCTATTAAAAAAAATCAGGTGAATTATTACGATTTTTACCCTTAAATTTATAAAAAAAGATTTAAAGAGAATCATTTTAAAATAGACTTCATTCTAATCCCATTCCCTTAACAAAATTCTTTAAAGTTTTCTCCTAGTACACTCTTTCTTCAACCTATGTCACTTAATTATCTGTTTTTTTTAAACTCTAGGAATAGGGGTCCCTTGATACCTACATTTGAACACATTATATAATCCATCCCTTGACAACCAACATCTCATTGTATATGTCTTCAAAAAAATTTATGTTTAGACAAACCCAATATATGTATTAGTTTAACTTTACTCAATGTATATAAGTATTTAATTACAAATTTGATGACTAAAACTAAAAAAATATTTTCTCTGAGAAAATAAATTTCTTTAAAATGAGGAAAATAACTTCTCTGGTGGGAGTAGGAAAACAAATTCCGTAAGAATGACATTCCATAGTGATTGTGTCCTCTCCACCTTTCAAGTGTAGAACACACTTTATTTTCACCCACCAGCATAGCCTCCACCTTCCATAATATTTATCTAGATTATATATAAATACTTTTCATTGCGATAATACTTTTTTTGCATAGTGAACACAAAAAAGAGAGTAAGAAACCTACTTATATTTCATAAAAAACATTTACTTTCCTATCGATAAATCCTAAACTTTAAATTCTAGCTCTGCCACTAAGTTTAATTTATTAGCTTGGGTTTGATTCTACTAAGCAAACTTATGGTCTATAATCCACGGAAATGGCAGCTAGTTATTAGAAAAGACAAATGCAACAATTACTAACTACTAAAAAAAAGATTAGTACACTACAATTCAATAAATAAAAAAAGGCATTGTTCATTTGATCACAATTTCTTTTGGTTTCCCTTGTAGAAAAATAATGCATGTTGTTTATTCAAAATGAAAAAAAGAACAAAAGAAAGAGGACTAATCTGGTGTTAATTTAATGTTTTATGCTTTATGTCTACTTATGAATATGATGATTAACTTTTTGTGAGTTAATTGAAGCTTAATTAGCAGGATTAATTGTTTAGTTGGGTTAATGACGTATGGATATATTCTTAGAACTTATTAAAACCAAAAAGGTCAAAAGAGAGAGGTGAGGGGGTCATGTGTCCCCCACATAATCGCCATCAAATCAAATCAATGCTACAAATACAATTGTCTTTATGAACATGAAATCCATATAAAAATATAGTCATTGATGTAGACAGACCTTATTTATATTTGAGTACCACATGATGATCCACGTGACTTGTTTTATTTATGATTTTAGATGTTTTTTTTAAAAGCTTCATTTGTTTTTAGGTTAAGACTAACTTATTCGAATAAAAGATGTATACTAAAATTAAGATGTCTATGTATTTGTATGACCGTGATGATGGTACCTTTAATCCTAATCTCATCTATTAAAAAAGAGAGTCCAACAACAACACTTACTGAAAAAACTATTCTATGATCATTTGCCTACTAAATTACACTTTTGGCATGACATTAACAAATTCATTCTTCTGCGAATATGAGATAGCCCGCCAGCCGATACGAGACTAAGGGACAATGTGAATAGCGATAGACAAGATTCAAAGATATATAGGCCAATCAAAAGGAAGATGGTGAAAGACCAGGCACCGATTAGAATGTCGGTTGGTAATAATGTTGACCGACTGTAGTAATTATAAATATGTAATAGCAAGTGGTAACTATAATTGATAATAGTGATTAATAGAGGTAACATAATGATGCCTAATAACTTATTGGATCGATGACCAACCGTGATGATTGAGAATATATAATGGTGGTGATCCCCGATAATGATTCGTGATTGTGATAAATTTGCCTACCTAATTACTCAATTAAATGAAAAACGTCTTCAATTTCCTAATTAAGTTGCATGTTTTTTTTAATAATAACTCGTGCCTTTTCATTTTTTTTTATAATTAATGAAGGAAAAGGGCGATCTCAGCTACATATAGCTTGTGCCAAAAGTGCTTCGATATGATTCACAAATGAAAAGTTGAAGGCCACGCTGCCCCCCCAAAAAAAGAAAAAAACTATCCTCAATTGCTTTTCATATTTCATCTTGCTTGAAGATGAGCCCAAGAAGTTTATGCTCAAAAGCATAGTTTTCCCCTGTACATTTAACATATATATATATATATATATATTTATTTTTTTTTTATTTATTTTATCCTTTTTACCCTTTCACATTCTTGAGATCAAGAGTGGGTACATTTTTACATCATATGTGTCATGGCCTCATGGGGAGATAGAAAATATGATGAAGGGAGAAACTTTCATGGGTCTATGCCCTTCTTATAAGGGTTAGACAATTCCTTTTTCTTTGAGCTAGCGAGCCAGAAAATTGGACAATCACGAGGAGTAGAAATATGTTCAATCTATAAATATCATGTATGAATTAAACTTAAGATCTAATTTAATAGAATAAATATATTTTTATAAATAGACGTGCAATTTGAAAGTTGGAACCATGCAATAAGTTTTAAAGGAAAGGAATATGAGTACATACATACTAGACACAAGTGCCTATGCTCACATATGCTCAATATTTGTTATTTTTTTGTCTCACTTTATGTGACATAAATAAAATTTAGGGAGTCAATTAAATTATTGTAATTTATAATACTTTTTACGTAATATTTAAATAATATATGTTATTTTCCTTGTCCCACCAATATATGTAGCACAAATAAAATTTCGAGAGTCAATATATTGTTAATTATTGAGATTTATAATACTTTTTACGTAGTTTTCAAATTAATTAATACATGTTACTTCTTTTGTCCTATTTTATATGATACAGATAGATTAATTTTATGAATCAATCGATTTTTTTATAAGTAATCAATTTTTTTATATGTTTTAAGTTGTCGATTGTCATGATTTATAGTATTTTTTTACGCAAATATATAAAAAATTAAAAATAAGACAAACAAATTAAAACGAAAGAAAAAAATAGGCAAATACATATGAAAGTGTGGAACCACACAGGTGATACATACATGTTGACCATCACCTGTGTGGTTTTCCACTCTTATAGATAAGTATAATAGATAAATGTTAAATATATAGAGGAAAAATAGATTATAATCTGGACATAGTAAATCAATCATTCTTCAAAATCTATTTAACACTTTTAAAGTGATGAAAAGTTAAAAGGTAAGTGTCAGCAGTGAATTGAATTAAAACTTGATATTTAATCAATTTAAATTTGTAATTAAAATATCATTATTAACGTATTCTGGATAGATAATTTATTAAAAAAATTACTATCGCGCGAGGCGCGATCAAATCCACTACTAGATCAATAATTCAGTAGAAAAACTTTTGATATATTGAATTTAGCCCAATAAAAAGATGAATCAGCAGTTGACAACATCAACAATTGACAGCCATGCATAAAATATTAAAGATCAAGAACCGAATATATAGATAAAAATAATTCAAGTAAAGCTTAATAAGATTTCGTATTAATATAAGAAATCGAAAGAGAAGAAAAAAGATCCACACAGTGAATTGTAAAGAGAGAAATAAAGGTGATAAAAAACCGTGAGAGGCGAGAGGAGAAAAGAAAGTCAGTGTGACACATAGAGAAAGGAGGAGGAGAGATTCACTACAACATCTAAGTATAGCTATATTAAATAATTTTTTTAAAATATAGCTAAAATAGGTAAATATAATAGCTATGTTTAACTTAGTAGTTTTATTGGGCCTAATTAAGTATTTAGTTGGGCAATATCCGGGTTCATCTCGAAAGGCCCAGATTGTTCTGGAATTCAAGTTAAGGTTGGCGAATTTGCCTTCTCCATCAAGAAATCGGAAAATCAATCGAAAGAGTTTCACATATATATCTTACCTTGAACCGATCATTCGTTCAATATATCTGAAATACATAATCCATCGCATTCTGCAATAGAAGAGAAGAGAAGAGAATTTGTTTGGAAGTTTTGTAGAGCGAGAAGAATGGATTTTGAGCTGAGAAGAGCGAGAGAGAAGCTAGAGCAAGAGCAGAGGGAGAGGAAACTCAAGGCTAAATTGAAATTGGATAGAGAGAAGAAAGCCAAACAAGAAGCTATTCGTCAACGTGAAGCAATTGAAGCTGTTCAGCGAGCTCGCCGACTTGATGCTGCTGAAGCCCAAGCTAAGGTCAGGTTTCCCGATACACCCTTTTCTCCAATAGTTTAATCGATTTGGGAATTGGGTATTTGTTGAATTTGTAGATAGTGCTTAGTTGGGTTATACTTTATAGGTGTTAGTATATTGATCTCTTTTAGTTGTTCTAACTTACTGTAATTGTAGGTAGTCTTAAATTGCTCTTTATTATTTCAAGTTTGTATTTTGAACAGAGAATTCCAACAAACGAGAATCGTTAACAAACAGTTTACTTGAATATGTGCATTTGTACCTGAAAGTTGCTACCCCTTTGTATTTTGTTGCTTCATCATCTTATATATCAAATTTTAGTGACTCATGAATTCTGTAAGAATAAAGTTTGATCTTTTTGAGATCTGCAATGTATTGGCCTTCAGTGAGAGTAGATACAGAAGGAAAGTGAGAATTTGTTAGTATGTTTCCTTCATGTGAATTTGTTTGCTACAATGCCATGAAGATGGATGATCTGCAAGGTGCCTAAAATGACCTTATAGTGTTTCTAAGGGGTGTTAGATTTGAAGATTGGATATACTGTGGTGTAGTAATCCCTCGGTATGAGGATAAGTGTTGGGTAACGCCAGCATCATGCCTATGGCAAGGCCCACAAGGGGCTGTATGATTTGAAGATTGAGATATACTGTGGTGTGGTAATCCCTTGGTATGAGGATAGGTGTTGGGTAACGGTGTAACGCCAACATTATGTCTATGGTAAGGCCCACGAGGGGCAGCTGTTGCCTGGGTCCAGAGTCATGATCGAACATGGCACTTTCGGCTACTTGAATTGTGGTAGATCTGCTTCAGGTGGTTTTTCCTCCCTAGAACAAGAACAAGAAAAGAAAAGGTATACCAGGAAAAAGGATGGGGGGAGGGGGGAATAGTTAAACTACCACAAGTGTCTTGTGATCTATATCTAATACTTCTTAAACTAAATGCTATCTGCCATGTTAAGAAATGAAGTGATGGTAATTGGCTAGACAACTGTTCAACAATAAAATAATAGTTGATATTTGCGGGACGTATTACCACATCAATTATTAGTTTTAATTGATTAAGTATGAAAGCAAGCACATTTTACTTGGATACCTAGAAAGTTAAACTACTTATTTCCCATTGGGAGAATCACTTTAAAATTTAGAATTCATTTGTCCTTTACCAGTTCTACTTGCCACCTTGAAGTTTTTTGACAAGTTAAGAATTTTTACAATATGTTGGTTATTTATTTTCTGCTTCCTTTCTTCAGCTGTGAGTGGTTTTCTTTACAGAAACGAACTTGTTAACACATTATGTTTTCAAACCATCGCCTATTTACTTCACTTGTGCTTGGTTAAACCACATGATCAAAACCTGCTCAACAAATGGATTTTTTTTTAATAATGTTATCTGTACTCAAATCAGATTTGCTATATTGTCGTGTCTTTCTTTTGATAAGGTAAAAATATTATCATTAAAGGTATCAAGAAGGTACATAAAAGAAAGTTCCAAAAATAAAGAAGGTATATAGAAGTACAACAGAATCAGACAGCCCATGTAATAGACTCCAGTTGCAAATTTGCAATTGAGTCCAAAAAGCCTATATACTGATCCATGTTCTTCTGATAAACTCTTCTTACACCAAAATAACAGATTATGAAGACAAATGTTCATCACTAATCACTCTAGAGATGTGGTTCTTTCTATTATCAAAACAAACACTGTTCCTTTCTTCTCAAATAGTCTGGAAGGTGCACAAAGGGATATGCGTCCACATCTGCTTCTGAGATTTAGCTATCTTCTGCTCATTCCAGCTCTCCAGTGAACTCTTTAACATCTGAAGGCATTACCCAAACAGCACCACACAAATTCAGGATAATCTTCCAGCATTGTTTAGTAAATTTACAGTGAATATTGACCGACATCAATTTCACTTCACATAGATAATACCTGCTACTCAAATTTAAACCTCTTCTTTGCAGATTATCTTGGGTTTAAGTATACTTATCTATTGAGAACCCATCCAAAACAGGCTACTTTGCAGGGGCTTTAGTCCATATCAATTTCCATGGCCTACTTGTCTCAGAGTGTTATCAATTCACAATTGATTGCTATATTGTTATGCCTTACTAATTGATTTTCTGAAAACCTGTGTGTGTGTTCAAAGCAGAGCAATATTTTCAAATTTCTAGGTCAATTCCACAATGTTCTGCATGTGCATTACATACAAAAATAAAAGAATATCAACCCTTTCGGGGTAAGTGTGGTTCGCAAGAATGTTTGAATCAATGAAGTATGGACGCCCTCCTACTTCATTAACTTTACACTTGGAGATTAGTGTAAAGTGCTGTACCCAATAAACTTAGCTGAAGTTTTCTGAATATCAGTGCTCTTATGAGTTCTGTTGTTTCCTCCCCCTGGAAAAGTTGTAAGCATTTGCTGATTCTCGAGATATTGACGAACTGAGGCTGAACATGCCTCGTTGATGTGGGGTGTGAATCAAAATATTAATTTATTATGATATGAACCAGTCCCTACCTCCATGCTGCCTACTAAGGGAGAAATTTATTGATATATTTATTGGATCCGTTGGGACTGGCGGGGGCTTGAACCGGCAGCTTCTGCCTTGACAGGGCTAACCAATTGAACTACAATCCCAGAGAAATACGGGATCTAGCAGTAGATCTGATTGTGAAAGACCTATTGCTGGATACTTCATGGGTAGAGCCAAAGCGTGTGAACAATACAATTTCTCAATAACATCAATTAGTTGATTAAATATTAACTTAAAGTATAAAGTAAAGGCTCTGTTGTATTTTAGACTTGTTGGTAATCCATGGTCAGTTTCCCTTCGTAGTACCCTACACGAAGCTGCCTCCTTGAGAGAGAGATGTAATATATGATAACCACAGTTTTGTAGTACTAATCCTTTCCCTTAAATTTATCTACATTATTTCTGCTCTGTAGTTCAAATTGTACTTGTTTTTGGTCGAGGGATCATGGGGTGTAAGCTACTTGCTATGGTTATTCTATCTGCGTTAGACAGTTCAAATGAATTTACAAATGTCGGGACCAGTTCATGCGTCCATTTCTTATGCTTGATGACATATCTAAACCATTATAATCTGTTGTCAGATTGGGTTGTACATAGACAAAATTTTCCTTTTCTGATTATCAATTAGAAGAAATTAGCTGGCTCCATTCTAGTGTAGCGGTCAAGGTGGTGTAATACTTTTCCTTATTAAGAAAAGTAGCTGGCTCTGTCATCCATATTTGTCATGTGACCTATTGCTGATGCTCAAGCCGGAGGAAATTAATGATGGAAGGGAATGCCTAACCCTTTCAATTTTTCTTTAACAGGCAACCCAGCAAATTGAAGAAGAACTGCTAGCTGGACGAGGAGTTGCATTTTCTCGTGTTTTGGAAGCTGTACCTTATGAGGGTGCCGGAGATAAAATTAAATTGCCACCATCTTGCTTCACTGAATTGTCTGATCAGGGTGCCTTTGACAAGGGACCTCTACACTTTAGGGTGTCTGCCATTCACCAATCTTCTCTTTCGGACTTGAAGGATGCAGAGCAGAATAAGCGGACAACACATGCTGGAGTCCTGGAGTTCACTGCAGATGATGGTGTTGTAGGGCTTCCTTCCCATATATGGAGTAACTTATATCCTGCAGAGTCGCCTATGGTTCCCATGGTTGAGGTGTGTTATGTTTGGCTCTCAAAAGGAACTTATTCAAAACTTCAGCCAGTTGAAGCAGGGTTTTCTGATATCCCTAATCACAAGGCGGTTCTTGAAACAAGTCTTCGTCAGCATGCGACGCTTTCAGAAGGCGATGTACTTACTGTTAATCATGGTGTTCTGACATATCATTTACGTGTTCTTGAACTAAAACCTTCTTCGAGTGTGTCTGTTCTAGAAACAGATATAGAGGTTGATGTAATTGGTGCTGATCCAACTGCTGAGAGCACAAGTCAGCCTGTATTGCAACCTCTCGAATTGGGCAAGTTAGATTCTGGGGTGGTTGCAGAAGGAAGCTATGTATATTACAAGTTCCAAATAGGCGATGATATTTGGGGAAAAATATCTTCAGGAGATGCTGAAATTGAGGTAAAAATAGAATCAGAGAACCATGATGGGGATACTGACCTCTATGTTTCCAGACACCCATTGCTATTCCCTACACAGCACCAGCACGGTTGGTCATCTCATGACATCGGTTCAAAAGCTTTGGTCCTTAACTCCAGGGATCTCGGCCTTGGACCTGGTACTTACAGTATTGGCATCTATGGTTTCAAGGGCACAACCAAGTACAAGGTGTCAGTTAGCATACGAGACAAATCTAATTTAAAGATTGGACAGCAGGCCGTCTCTTCCACATTGTCTGCTGATGCAGATACAGTAGAATGCCAAAACTGTAAACATTACATACCTTCCAGGAGTATAGCACTCCATGAAGCTTACTGTAGGAGGCACAATATTATCTGTCAGCATACTAGTTGTGGGGTTGTTCTAAGGAGGGATGAGGTCAAGAACCATGTCCATTGTGAAGAATGTGGGCTAGCATTTCAGAAAGAGGAAATGGAGAAGCACAAGAAAGTATTTCATGTCCCGCTGAATTGCCCTTGTGGAATAGTCCTTGAAAAAGAAAAGATGGTAAAGTATATTTTCCCTTTTTAAAATTTATTACACCCTATTTCTATTGGCTTATTCATCTAACAGCTTCTGGTAACAGGTTCAACATCAATCTGTGGAGTGTCCCTTGCGACTTGTAACATGCCAGTTTTGTGGAGACATGGTCCAAGCAGGGACTTCAGCAGCAGATGTGAGGGATCGCTTAAGAGGACTTACACAGCACGAGAGTGTTTGTGGATCAAGAACTGCCCCTTGTGATTCATGTGGGCGTTCAGTTATGTTGAAGGATATGGACATACACCAAGTTGCAGTCCACCAGAAAAATTGATCATGAGTAAATCTTCCATTTCTTCTCTGGTGACTTTGGATTCAAAATGCGGTTAAACTGTAAAGCTCTGGCTGTTGATTCATGTATTCAATTTTAGTCTTTATTTGTGATTCTCAACCACTTTAAGGGTTGCAAGGCAAAGGGAGGGGTGGGTTGATGTTTTGTAGCCCCCTTTGCTGTGACTTCGAAAATATTATCAATTTATCATCAATGCTTAGTAATTTCGGAGAGACATTCCAAAATCTTAACCCTTATCACATTCTCTTTACCTTGTATGTATAGATCTGGGCAACACAACTCCACATATAACTTGACGATTTTCGCTATAAGCATTTCCCTATCAGTGTTTGGTGGAATGGGGTGCACCATTTGCTTGAGGAGGATGAACACAGGCTCCATTATCCGTTCATCCTTCCACCATTTCTTGTTATGTCACATTCTGGTGTTGTATAGTTTGTAATATTAGAGTAATTATTCAAGGAATAGGTTATAACAATTGGGTAACATGGGTGTAATATTTTGGGTACTACAGCTGAAATTAGTTAATTAATGAGTAATGGTACCGATACAGTATATAATATTGATTTAGTATTAGTTAAGCAAAATTAGTGGGGAGTATAGTGTAATTATTTAGTGGGGTATGAACGTAACGGGATATATGTTCGTAATATTTTGCTTTTATGGGATATTTACTTGGTTTTCCTTTGATTTTTTATTCCGAGATGATACATTTCATCATACAACAATTAATCCGCTAGTTTGGTCGATAGTCCATGGCTGCACATAGCAAATTATATATATCTCCGTTCACCTAGGGGTGGGCATGGTACGGTATTTAAAATTTTTGATACCGTAACTTTGGTATTCGGTATCTAGAGTACTATATCAAATTAGCTCGGTATGGGTTGGTATATTTAATTTCGGTTCCGATATTTTACGATATGGTATTCGGTAATCATAATTTGTTTAACTTCGACTTACATAAATTTATAACTCTCCATACAATATATTTAACAAATAAGTTAGAATCATTCTCTTTGTTCTTTAGCAAGTATTCTTGCAAGACCAATACGATGATCAACATGAATATGAAAAATTCAAAAGCACAAAACTCAATCATATTAGATCAACAACTACTTTTGCTAAATAATTTCACAAAAAGAACATTTCAATTACAATCGAGTAGTCATAGATCCAAAGTTTAAATAGCACTATCTAAAATTATGCATAGCCCTATATAATTTTACACCACAAAATCATTCAATAACATGTAGACTCTAACTTGACATATACCACTATATCAAGTTAGAGTCTACATGTTAGTAAATGATTAATTTTATATATTACTATAACATTTTGGTACGGTATACAATATTTTGATATTTATTTTATAAATACCAAATACCGTATCGAATACCAAAAAAATTTAAAAGTCATTCCAATTATCATACCAAATACCATAAGTCCATAATATCCATACCACGGTATAAATTTTTTTTGGTCTCGATATAATATTCGGTATGTACCATATCATGTCCACCCCTACTTTCACGGTTTCACCAATATAGATGCTAATTATGTAAAAAGATAAAAACAAAGAACTGTAAATTGTTACTACTAACTGATTAATCTTCGTTGCAACTTGTAAGGGTATTACTATATAAGAAGAGTAAATAAGCACACTCCTCTCCGTCAACACGTGTGCTTACTTGAAAATACACTGAATTTATTCATGTTAGTGTAGTCAAGGGTAGCTCCCTTCTGTGTTTGAGAAGATTTGATGACAAAGTTTGGATTTTTCTTGTTGAGAATGAGTTGAAAAATTTGTCGATTATATTTGGGTTTGTAGTTTCCTTCTTGCTATTGGGTTGACTGATAGTATGTATTTGAACAATTCTCCCATTGAGCTAATCTTTTGAGTTGAGTTAGGCATGTTATGTCTTTTACGAATTATATGGTATCTTATTGGATTGATAAATTCTTGAACATATTAATAAAAGTTTTGTAGTTTGGCTAGTTAGGATTAATAAACATTCCAATTTCTTATTTTCAACCTGTAAAAGTCTGATTTTGGATATACTTACTTTTTTTTTGTAGTTGTAGGGACAAAAGGTCGTTCCTTTTTGGTTTGGCTCGAAATAATTACAAAATTCATTACAATAATATCTCTAACATAATCCTGATTGTCTTTCTTCAAACCTCCAGCTCAGAGGTTTCTTGATATTTATAGTTCCCTTGAAAATAATCTAAAACATATATTGCTTGGACTCTTCAAAAGTGTAGACGCACCCATCTCTGATCCTTAAAAATAATTTCCTTTTAGCGAATCTGCCATGCACAGAGATTCTGTTTTTCCAATAAGCAACCGTTGTTTAAGTTGCAAAATCATAGAATTAGCTCTTTTTGTTAAAATTGGGATCCTTACATAGGAGGCATGACACTTAGTATTGAGATTTTGAAGGAGTGATTGAAGAATCGAATAGATTTTACTATTCAGACTTTTGAAGGAGAAACATAAACAATCGGTTCCAAAGAAAACTTGATAGTTATAATGAAGGCTATTATGAGAGGTGGTTGTTATAAAAAGGTCCAACTGTTTACAACATAGATTTTCAATTCTCATCGCATAGATCATTTAGGTCCCGACTTTACCTCGATGTGAGTTATTGGACGCAGCAACTATACACTGTTCGTGCCACCATTAAAGATCTCAGGCCGTCACCTCTTCCTTTTTCTTCATCAATTTTTGTTTCAAAATATTCCTGCCTACAACTTCTTCCATGACCCTGTTGTTGCTTTTTAATCAAATAAATATATGAATATTTTCATCCATTCTCCTTATAGCTCTGTTTTTTTCCTCGTGCAGATCAACCGAGACATGCTTAACTCGATCAATACTAAGGACGGCATATCGTAACAACCTTGTGTTCGTGTTGGGCCTAGGAAACGCCCAGGCTACCTTTACTAGTATATATATATACGAAAAATCAAGAAGGTCACGTAATTCCTAAAAGTTAGCCCGTGAATGCAGATATATGCCTTAAAATTGTGGAACTATACGTAATACTTTCCCAACTCATTACGGAGGTCCTCATAATTTTTTTCAGAAAAAATGTTTGGGTGCTCTGAGTAGCTAGATCCATGGGCTAATACAAACGAAAAACCAAGAAAGTCATGTAATTTCTAAAAGTTGGCTCGTAAATGCGAAAATATGCCTTAAAATGGTGGGACTACACATAATGTTTCCCAACTATTACGGAGGTTCGCATAAGGTTTTTTCATACATTTTTTGGATGCTTCGAGGTGCTAGATCAATGGACTAATACACACGAAAAATCAAGAAAGTCGTGTAATCCTAAAAGTTGGTTCGTAATAGGAAAATATGCCTTTAAAAATGGTGGCACTATACGTAATTTTTCTCCAACTCATTGCGGAGGTCATCATAATGTTTGTTCTAGAAAGTTTTTGCAGGAGCTCCGAGGTGCCAGATCCATAGGCTAATACGGATGGAAAATCAAGAAAGTCACGTAATTCCTAAAAGTTGGCTTGTAAATGCAAAAATTTGCCTTAAAAATGGTGGGACTATACATAATGCTTCCCCAACTCATTACGAAGGTCCTCATAATTTTTTTTCAGGTGCTCTGAGGCGCTAGATCCATGGGATGTAAATACGAAAATAAGCGTTTAAAATGGTTTTAGTAGATGTGGTGGTTCCCCAACTCATTATGGAGGTCCACATAAAGTTTTTTGAGAAATATACACGAAAAGTCGAGGAATTTGGGTACTTCCCAAAAAGGCATGTAAATGTGGAAATAGGCGTATAAAATGGTGTGAGTATACATAGTGTTTCCCCAATTAATTACAGAGGTTCTCATAAAGTTTTTTAAGAATAAAATTTTGGTGCTCCAGGGTGCCTAGCACGAAAAATCGAGGAATTTGGGTAATTACTAAAAAATGGCCTGTAAATCTGGAAATAGGCATTAAAAATATTGTGAGTATATATAGTGGTTCCCCAACTCATTCCGGAGGTCCTCATAAAGATTTTTGAGAAATTTTTTTTGGGTGCTCTAGGGCGCCAGATCCATAGGCTATAACACATGAAAAATCAAGGATTTTGGGTATTTCCTAAAAAAGGGGCATGTAAATGCAGAAATTGTCCTTAAAATGGTGTGAGTATACGTGGTGGTTCCCAACTCATTACGGAGGTCCTTATAAAGTGTTTTGAGAAAAAAATATGTCACACCCCGAGCCTACACCCAGGCTGTGACCGACACTCGAGAACCATTGCTAGTCCCAAGCGAACCCTGGCCTAACTTTCTTACTCAGCGGAAAACTTTACTCAAGATAAATACTTTTAAACTAGAACACTGAACTGATCAATAAATAACTGAGAATGTAATAAATAACATTCACTGCCAAAGTGACAACTCAAGTCTCTACTTAACTGAAAAGGAAAGTAAAGACTTATGAACTAACATCAACTAACTCTGTCTATGAAGCCTCTAAACTTTGAGGGATGCCGAGAAAAGACCCCCGATCATCCTAACATCTGAAATAAGCAAGCAATAAAACAAAACATAACCAAAGGGATCCTCCGGAAAGCAAAGAGGCTCACCACTAACTCTGAGTGCTCAACTGGATCAATGATGCACTCAATGCTAATCATGGTTGCCTGTGTCTGCATCATAATAAGATGCAGGCCGAATGACATTAATACATTGAATGTATGAGTATGTGAGGGGAATTCTAAAACAAGACATAAGCTTGAAAGGAACTGAAGAAGTTACCTGGCTCAACTTAACTGAACTGATTTCAATATAAAGCAGTGTATATAAATGCAGTATAAAGAAAAGCTTTAAAACATAGTTTCAACTCTGTGTATTTAGAAATACAATAATAACTCTATATGTATGCAAAGATACAATATGAACTTTGTTTGTATATGAAAATACAAATATTGCTGATGTATATAAAAATACAAAGTACTGTTGTGGGAGTTTCTCTAACCTACAACCATCACTTAAGAGCTATCGTGATGATACATCGTTTTGCCTCACGCTGCCAGGGCCTTCCTATACCTTGCCAGGATATCGACATAGAACCTGAACTACTAAGTGGCTCCACTAGTCTATGCTAAAAAACACTAAAGGAATCATCTAAAAAGTATGACCTTTTTCTACCCATGATTGCTACATATTTTATGGCGACTTAGATTTCTCTGAACTCAACCCCAT